TTACCCATTTGGAATTTTTTTGGCAAAGTCGAAGATGTTAAGAAGTATGCCAGCTTCGGCCGTCGTATAGACTAGTCTAAAAATCAACGGTCAAAGGGTGTCGGTTCTATTTAGCAGAGGTCACGCTTGAAAAAGTTTCTGAAGTGGGAGGATGGTGTCCGTATCAATAACTGGGGGTCTCTTGACACACTTCAACTCTCCATCAGTCCTCTCTAAAACTGTCACAGGTACTAGGATGGGCGAGGGGGTGGGGAACGTTACAGCTGAAACAGTGGATTATACAACTCCATTCCACTTTAGAACTTTCTGGTGAAACTATGGACATTACTAACTTTTGAAGGAAGCTATCCCTCCACCAAAAGTTCAGCTTCCACCACCGCGGAACTTCTCTGAAAACACAAATACAGCCCTTGCATCGAGTATCAAGATAAGACGTACCTCTCATTCGTCGTCTGAAATTCTTTAGCGGTCAGTTGATCCTTTGGTTTCGAGATTTTTTTTGATCTTTCGCGTAATTTGTTACCAGGGGGAGATGTCATGAAAATTATCGAAATCGCATTGGATTTGATTAATAATGGTGGCAGTTCCGACAAAAGACAACACCGGCGTTTAATGGACGGACACCTTGTTTTTCATTCTTCATCGGCTCGCTGACACGGCGATAACCGTTTTATCACTCTTGAACGTTTCTGGCCGTGTTAAGGCCAATAGCCAATCAAATTTGGGTATAGTCAATTCTGTTATCAGAGAGGTTATTGGGATGCAAGTATTTGGGATTCGTTCCTAAAATATTTGCCTGATAAGCAAAAGGGGAAAACAGTGGTCGAGGCGAGTGCAAAAGAATTTGTTGCGTTCGAACGAGCCTTCCGGCCCAACGATGCACTTTGCGACTGTTCCTAAGTCTCTCAGATAGGGACAGTGCTCAATAAGATACGCATTTCAACTTTGGGGATTAAGCAAGCATAAGAATTAAGCAATCGCGTTGACCAACGGCTTTTGTATGCGCCACAAATTCGACTTCTGTTTGAAAAAGCTGACGTAATGGATTCATTCTATGACCACCGTTGGGTCGACATGGAAACTGATGTTATCATCCAGGAAAGACTGTTTCCAACTTTTAGGGAAGGATGTGGAATGTTTGATGGGTGAATCCGCTGCGCTGGACACCACTCTGCAAACAAATTCCTGCTGTAGCTGAGAAACTAAAGGAGAATTTTACAATAAATTGATGGCAAATTGAAAAATAATTTTGATTCAAATTCAATCAAAAGCCCACGTAGCGTTTTATCCATTTTTTGTAACAACCCTCTCGTCCTCCTCCCGCTCCTTCCCGTAGGACGACATGGATGCTAATGTTTCATTTGCGCTGTGGTATTTAAGTTGATCCAGGAAGGGCTTGGGCACGAAACGTAATCAGTAAATCTTTGCGAAAATGAAGCCTTCAGTTTATATCTATGTTCATTTAATTCGATCAATTTATATCTATATTGATTGCCTCCTGGTAATGTACAATAGATAGAAGTGAGCAATGGTGCAGGGACGAAGAAAAGATTGAGAATGCTGCTTGGAACCCACGAAATAAGAGCTCCATTCTTCCCGTTTCCCGTTGGAGCGACTTCTCGGTGCTGGTATCATCAACGTGAACGCTTTGGTAAAGCATTAGAGTTCGCGGCTATAGTCCGCTAAAGGAGCTAGCTAGCTGCGGACGTGTAGAGCCGCGAACGCCAACGGCACAGCTCTGCTAGGCCCCTAGGAAGTAAGCAAACCAGCTTTTTGGCGTTTCTTCTGGGACACTCGGTCCTTAAAACCGCCTCAATTTGGTGCTCACCTCAGAACTAAGCCTTAAAGAGAGGACGGGTCCGTCCCCTCTCCAAGGCTTAGTCCTGGGGTGAGCAAACCAGCCCTTCTGGCGGAGCTGCTGGACCAGCTGCACCACTTGCGTCAGTACTCTCCTATCGTACCGACCGAGTTCAAGTAGTCCGTCGACCTCGGGGACCCCATCCCCTCCCCAACATTCAGCATACGGCCCAGCAGAAATCAAAGAGGCTGGCTCGCTCATTTCGGCTGCTAGGGCGCACCTTTCATGTTACACGCACTGTCCCGCACTCCTAGGAAGCCTGTCTTTCTTTCTAGTATGATTCCCCTTCTTCTTCCTTCGATTTCTCGTGGGATTTTCCTTTAGCTTGGTAAATAAATAAATAAATTATAGAGGTCACCATCACGTCCACTCCTTATGCGACCGCCCCTATAACCTACACAAAGCAACGCAATTGGTACTGCGAAATATCAGTCAAGCTTGAGAATGAGTATAAAATCGTCCACTGCATCGTTCGCGTGGGAGATATAATGAGATAATGAGATATAATGTTTTTCATGGAAGGAATATTATGTGAAGAATTTCAGATCAACTATGACACGAAGGAGCAGTTCACATTTGCAGATTTGATCACCAAAGCGAAGTTTATTGGCAGGGCTTTGGTGGCGATGGGAGTTGAGCGAGGGGAGGTAAGGAATTTTCGAGGCGAAATTAATGGTTAATGGTGAAATGAACCTCAGGTAGTGATGCTGTGCATGGATAATTCGCCTCAGGCCGTCTACCTCTTTTTGGCTGTTTCGTTAGCCGGCGCAGTGGCTTGTACCCTATCACCCAAGTTGTATGCAGGTATACTTATTCATTTTCATTGACATCTATCAAATTATAGAGGTATTTTCCGACGGTTTTTTGAGTGGCGCCCCATATCCAGTTGTTGCGCGCTTAATTGCGGTGGTTTTTGCAATCGCATGGCCCACCCGAGGTATTAGCGGGGATTATGACCTAAAGGCGGAGTTCATGAAGAAAAGGCTGCCCATCAGGAATCTTAGAGGTGGTCAGTGGTGCAGGAGTGAAGAAAAATCCGAGAAAAGTGGCTCAGAACCAGGGTCAACCCTACGTTGCTACAAGTACCAACGGGGGGTCGTAGTTTGTTGAGTTTGTGGGGGGGGGGTCGTACTTGTTTCGGTAGTAACGAAATTACATGTGATGAGGTGAGAGCGCGCGGGAGAAAATTTGCCGTTTCAGCGTGCGTATATACTCCCTAGAAAATGGGGAGTGGAAATATAGGTAGAAGAGAGGGGGATGGGGAAAAGGAAAGGGGAATATAGGAGGTATGAGAATTATGAAACAATCGCTAAATGCAGCCATTTCTATCGCACACATTTACAACGCTACTGTTTCCAGATGAGATGCATTTCCAACTAGTGGAATCCGATTGTCGAATAGCATTTGCTGATCCGATGGCTATCCCAGAAATTCAAAAAGTGTTCCGAGCACTGAACAAGCCTCATCGGGTGAGTGCTTCCTAATGTTAATCTTTGAACTACTTGCATTTGATTTTAATCGCCTTTTGTCCGTTCCGAAATCGCATCAGAATGATGTGGTCAGTAAGTCCCTTTAATGGTCCACGAACGTGTAGCCTGCTACGTGTGCGAAATATGCGCATTGATTATAGGCGAACGTTACGAAGACATCATTGCTCATCGGTGATGCAGGTAGAAGGGGTAAGCAGTGAACCATCTTAGAGAAAACCGTTCAGACAGCTAAATGGGATCCATTTTGTACTGAATTTCCGCTCTAGGGAAGAATAGACGATAGATCATTTTAATGACGTGAGGGGGTAGCTCTAGCATTCAGTAGGAGGCGGGCCGAACCACGGTAGGTGGCCTTGGCCAGGGTTGGATTAGCCGGCTACCGGTCAGGAGGCTGGCCACGCGGCAAGAAGTCAGAGTCAGCGGACGAGTAGCAGCGCGTGATGAGATGTAGGACGTACAACCTTACACGGGAGGCGCTCACATGAGGTGAAACTCCAGTTCGGGGGGGGGCACTCCATTGCTATCTTATCCGTAGTACTAGAGAGCAGTTCTTTGGGCTATCGAACACTACGGATAAGATAATAAGTGAACGACTCATTTCGAGCGTACTTTTGATAAGGACCGGTGGATGTCCTACATTCCACACTACCTGCCCACATCCCATCCACTTTTCTGCACAGGTGATCCACCCTGGAGCTCCTGCACCCTTAGCCCTTTGCGGAGGTGTCCTTTCTCCTGGTCCAGGACCGTTGGGTCATGGCGGAAATGTGAAAACGTTTCAGGGTTTCTCACCCATTACACCAATATTTATCAGAAGTCTACTTTAAATGAGTCGATTACGTGTCGTGAGCCCTCTAATCCTTATCTTGAGTATTGGAGAAAAAATGGAGTGCCCCCCCGAACTGGAGTTTCACCCTCACATGTAGCGATCCATTGGCATTAGAGCGCACAGGCCGCAATTCCCCATCCTGCTGCGGTCGGACAACTCGTCCGTATCACTCAACTACCAGACTTCTGTAATTGATCGATCTGATAATTGGGTCTCAAAAATCTCGCTGAGTCCCAAGGATTGAAAGAGCGGATAGCTCTGATGCCAAGGCAAGAGGAACGGAACAGAATGTTGCGTGGACGAGTTGTCCGGCCACAGCAGGATGTGGTAATTACGGCCTGCGCGCTCCAATGTCAGTGGGATCGCGCCATATGATGCACATCCCCGCACCCGCACACTATATTGAGCTTCACGCCAGTACACTAGTTTCGCACGAAAACTCCGCTCCAATTGCTGCCATGTGAGAATAGAGCTCCCGGCTGTCCCACTGCCAGCAAAGAGATGACGTTGGCGGCATTCTCTTAGTACAAACACATTGTGCAGGAAATGTTACGACGTCTACGACACCAACAATTTTCAGATATTATGTACGGGTGCGCGAGAACTAGCCGATGGTTATCCGATACTTGAAGATCTACAATTTGTTGGTGACTCCAGTGGTAATTCGTAGTGCTGATTGGCAGCATAATCAATCTCGTACTATGCTTCCAGTGAGTGATGATGTCATGCTTCCACGGATTCAACCACGTCACGACATCGTCTACTTACCGTTTTCAAGCGGAATCCATGGCAACGCAAAGGAATTCTCACGACTCATTACATAATGAACGCCAAAACAATGATCTCTTTCAAGTAGGTCCAGAGCAAACCCTCACAGCTTGGTATAACCTCAATGATCGTGACGCTCTTTTCAGCTCCAATTCTTACATTCATCCCGAACGGGGCGAATATACCGTGGCGATGTTGCCGTTTCACCGTCAGCTCGGACTTGAAGCAATCTTCATCTCATTGCTGGCTGGAGCTACAGTAGTCACTGTGTCCAACTTCTGTGTACATACACTTATGACCTGTATAGATAGATTCAAGGTGAGCTGAATTACTTCCTATCTGATTCAGACCTAGAAATGGCGCTGTTGTATGTGCATGGTCTGCGTCAGTCTGGCGTCACTTAATTCACAGCCACATTACAGTACATACACGTAGCGGTGAGGCATTGGCACTAACCACAAGATAAAGGGGGCGTAAAAAAGAGACATTTCTGCATGACTGATATCAGCACGCCCTAATTCGTGTAGGCTGCCGTTGCACATGGAAAAATTTTTCCTGGAATGACTCTCCATGAACAGATAAAAACCCGTGTTCTCTCGTTCTTCGAATCGCCGTCGAGTGCGACAATCGAATCGCTTGACTGGTATCGCAACGCAACCGCGGACGCTAGCGATTTGCTAATAGCGATGATTCGCAAAGTCTGACATCGGCCATATTCGAGTTCATGTGTCGCTAGGGTTTTCAACGAGAATCGAATGAAAAGTTCCATGTATCCATTGCTGAAACACTTTTGAATTGGTTGGGAACAGTGGGATGGGCGAATAAATCGATTCAAAATGTTCCTGCAGTCATGTGCTGAAATGGAGATTGACTTCAAGGGTGGTTCTTAGTGACAATTTCAGGTGAGAACGCTTTACCTAAGCCCGATGATCATGTCGATGATGATTAACGAGGCTGAGAACCACGAATACTCGATTCAAGACCTGCGGACGGTCATCAACGGCAGTGCGGCTGTCTCAAAGGATCTTCTTCGACGATTTTCGAGAAGCGTTCCCATTTGTCAGAAACATTATCTCAAGTAAGTACAAGAAGAGAATTTCTCTGGGAAAGTGGTCCTTTTGGAAAAGGCGTGCACTGTTATCAAATCTCTTTCAGCATACGGTATGACTGAAGTTGGCCTAATCACGAGGACTGTGCCCAGCGAAAAATACTCGGCGACGTGCGGTAAACTGGCTGCAAATCTTTCTCTAAAGGTCACTTATTGATTGAGAATCCTATCTTGGAAGAGACCCTTGTCTACAGCAAGTTCTAATCACATCACTATTAGTGGCCTGTAGGCAGATTTGAAGAGATCTTGGCCTGATCGTACGTCTAGTACAGCCTTGGAAGGGCATTCAAAAATCGCTGGCAATTGACACTAGGACTGAGCCTAGGAGGCAGGAGAAACGCCAGGGGACAAAAATTGCTCACATCCTCTCACAGAATCCCTTCCCCTCCCAAGGCTGATTTCTAAATTGTGTAAATGGCTTACTAACTTGAATCTCCCCCCCCCCCTCTGACCACGAACGTCTTTTTTCGCATTATTATGTCCTCTTAAATCTTCACTTTTGAAAATTCATGATTTTGGTCTGGTAGAGGACCCAGGAGCTTCTGGAAGGCAAGAGCCGTCACGGACTCGAATTGCTATGTGGTACTCGGAGCGAAAGGGGAGGTAACCTCACCCATGTTAAATGACTCACAAATCCGCTTAACCTCTCAAACCAAGCTGTCGTTCTCATTTTAAAAACCACTAAACCAATAACATTTAATAAGATTCTATTGGAGGGATATTTGGTGGCTCAAAGCTCATGTAGCATCGCCGAAGATTGAAGGTACGTAACCTCTTGGAACAAAAGTGCTCTATGCCTTTGCGGAGCTAAAGAGTGGCTCCAGTATCTGTTACTCCAACATGCCAAGGCACATCAAATTGCTTAGGCGATTTCGAACGGAGTTTGAGTGAATTGCGCATCACAAGACCTTCGATAATGTGTTCTGTTTTCCTTTGAGAATAGCGGTGAAGATTTTGCAGTTCAAGGGCACGTGTCACGATTTAATCCTTGGAGATGACCCCCTTGAATGAGATAGCAGAACCTCCTAATCAGGTAAGGTATACAGTCGATATCCGAAAGTTGGGGTAGGTGTGTCACCGGAAGTGACGTGCACTTGATAGAAGTGCGTGGATAAGCTGTTGCCAGCATGCTTTGCTGATAGCCAGCGATGTATGTTGGAAGCAGCTTATCCACATAGTTTCTATCAAGTGCACGTCACTTCCGGTGACACGCCCACCCCAACTCACCGATATCGAGTATACATACTTTTGCGACTTAAAAGTGCGCACAAGGAAGCCAATGCCCTCGTTTGACCGCTGCAACCGCTACCATTCTTATCAATCGCAGCACACATGGTGTCTGCGCTCTCTCGCGTACGACGTACTCTTTTACGTTTTCACTTTCCTCGTGGTCTACAAATGCATGGTGACCTTTTGAAGCTTGCTGCTTTTCAATGTGGGTGTTTTTCAGGGAATCTTGTGTAGCGAATCCTCTGTAGCCATCGAAATGAACTTCCATTGATCTTGCCCCTCTTTGCGTGGTTCTTGATTTTCGCCCTCATAAAGATAGCGTCCTGTACACAGTTGAGGAGTAAGTAGCCTTCAAGCTGACATTCACGTTGCATTGGATCGAGAACATCTTTCTGCTTACAACGTTTTCTATGTAGGCCATCACCACACGTACCACATGATACACCAGGGTGTCCCCCAAGAGGCCAATCGTGCGGCAAAGGAAGAGACGCAGACACGGCAAAGGACGATCGCAGCGCATATACCGTGACGGTTAGGCGTTAGGTTGAATAGAGTGTACCATACTACGTCTTATATCGCACAGCACGCGCTGTGACTCGTTTCCTTTGCCGCATCTGCGTCTCTTCCTTCGCCGCGCGATGGGCCTCTTGGGGGACACCTGTCGACACACGGTTGCGGGGGTGTAGGATAAACAGGGTACTCACAAATTATGGGAACGGGATGAAGTGTTCAGGGATAATCTATGCGGGCATGTAAAAAAAACAACCAAGCAAACACCATATTTATGAAGTAGAAGCCACAAACAGGTGTATTTTTAGCTAGACGTGGATTACAGTGGCAACCTGCTACAGGAGTTGGGGAGGGAGGGAGGGGGGGGCGGGACCACGCGGCGGCGCGGCGCTCTGTTCGTCTGCTCCTCCAAGGTTAGTCCGCCGATGGCGCGTATTTCAAAACTGCCAAGTGGCGACGAAATAGTAACTGCCAATTGGACTAAGCCTTAGAGGAGCAGACGAACAGAACGGGAGCGCGCGCGTGTCCTACAACTAAGTTAGCACCCAGTCTGTATTGACAAGGTAGTATCCTTCTATTTTATAAAGCGCTAACTTTGTGTGTCGGTTTGTATGTCTGTATGTGTGTATGTATGTATGTATGTATGTATGTATGTATGTATGTATGTATGTATGTATGTATGTATGTATGTATGTATGTATGTATGTATGTATGTATGTATGTATGTATGTATGTATGTATGTATGTATGTATGTATGTATGTATGTATGTATGTATGTATGTATGTATGTATGTATGTATGTATGTATGTATGTATGTATGTATGTATGTATGTATGTATGTATGTATGTATGTATGTATGTATGTATGTATGTATGTATGTATGTATGTATGTATGTATGTATGTATGTATGTATGTATGTATGTATGTATGTATGTATGTATGTGTCCGTCCGCAAAATGAAGTGAGTGAGAAGGAAGCTCATGGGATAAACAAACCGCTAACAGAATCATGTAGCTCACAGGACTTTAGCTATTAGTGTTTTGCAATGGCATGATTGTGATAACACCCCAACGGCTACATAAACACCTACTGAGGTCACTTCCAGTTATTTCACATGGTGCTGCGGTGGCAGCTGAAGGTGAGTGGAAGGAGAGGAGAGGGGGTGAAGTGTTCGAGGAGGGTAGGCGGGAAACCACCCCCAACAGGCCTAGGATGCAATTAGCTTTCGTAAGGTGATTTTAGGCCGTAAAGCGTACGCTGTGAAAGAAGGTCCCGGCGGTTGGCGGGGGACCAACCTGGTTATAGTTAGACAATCCTTCCATCCGTCGCGCGTGGTTTAGCGGTGAACGGAATCATCGTGGCGGCATCAGGGGGTGGACCTTTCTACGTTCATGGGACCTTTAAGCCGCAGCATTCCTGATGCTCTGAACGCTACCAGGTCGGATGGTTTTTTCGGTTCGACTGGTAGATTTTCGAGCTGTGGCTCCACTACCGTATTTATGGCCACCCGGGATATACAAAACAGATGTTTTGAATATGTTTTTGCGCGTTTGTGCTGAAGCAGAAAGAAAGCGACATCTGACAATTGAACTGCTTTACAGTGTTGCGATTGGAATCAGTGGCAAGTGTTGTGGGCCATACCAGAGGGAAGTGAATTTTGATGTGAAGGTTGTAAGCGTTTTGTCACCGTACCTAAACAATGAGGAAGCGACTAGAGAACAAATCAGAGGTGGCTGGAGGAAAACCGGTTAGTTTTGCTTCAAATTTCTTTCGAAAGCCACATTTAAAGGCAAAAGTCAGGCTCGTGTTTGGGCATTATGGCGCCTGAAATTGAGTGTAGAGATGGGAGGTGGAACGACAGTGAAGAAAAAACGCAAAGAAACCGTCGACAAGACCGAAATCGAAACCCCTTCCCTTCTAGCAGTGAAGGAGGCTTGCTCGGGGGAGAGCCACGTCCAAACGAGTTTTCCGGATATGCCAGCCGTTCCATCGGTTGATACGGCAATCAACCTAGCTGATCTCACACGTTAGGCCAGCCACGCACCACATCCCGCGGTGGGCGGGACCAGCTGATGAAACGAACCCATCGCTGTAAGTAGTAGGCCAGAGGCCTTGACGGCGCGCAATCTCGAGTCAGGAGTGTGGCATCACCCCTCTGAGCGCATTCCTGGAAATATTAGTGATGGAAAGGCCTTCTATGGTCACCTAATCCTGACTCGTGGCTTTAAGAGATGCTAGCAAGCCCTCAATCATGTTTACTTTTTTCACTGTTTCTTTGAATATTCTGGAAAGTGAGTGAGCCTGACTAGGATCCATAAACATGATTTCTCACCCAGGAGATATTGGATACTATGACGACGACGAGAATATCTACCTTGTGGACAAATTCAAGGAAATGATAAAAGTGCACGGTTATCAGGTCAGGCATTCTTTACACAGTTGTTTGTGTCTTTGAACAGTACAGGGTGTTCCATAAATATTGCAACACGTTTCTTAACTTGTAACTTCTCTCAAAGTGGACGTATCTTCAAGTGGTCACACTATTCTTAGTCCGTCATTAAGATGTTGAAAGGAATGACATTTATTCGATAAGTCCCCCTGTCGCTGTGAGTATGGCTCCCAGTTGCTCTAGTGTGGCCCGCATGGCATCCTGGGTGCCTTCTTCGAAACTTTGTAGAGAAAAGGCTCAGCTCCTCCATTTGGATGCATTGTTTAGTGCAGGCTCTGTCCCCTAATATAGCCCAAATAGGATGGTCCAGCAGGTTGAAATCGAGAGATATGAGAGCCATTTGTTTGAGGATGTGAAATCGGGAACAGCATCATGAGATCAGTCCTAAACAATTTTTGCCCCTTATGCAGAAGCTGGTTACCTTTGAAAGAACGTCATTCCTCTTGAAGAAGCTAGATACCACAACAAGAATGGTGCACTGGAGCATTCGTTAGCTAGGTCTGTATCGAGTTTTATTCGCTTTTCAACAGACAGTTGTGGTGAGCGACCGGTGATTGAGACCCTTGCCCAAATCGTGATAAAGATTGGCTGCTGCTTGTGGCGAATATTCCTTTCACTCTCACTGGCTTCCACAGGACCTCATGCGGGCATCCTCGGAGTTTGAAGATTGTAGCTCCGCTCCATGTGAGGAATTTTGTCGTCGATGTACCATTTTCGGCCCTCGACACGAGCTCTCTGAAC